AGGCCCGGCGGGGGGGGGGGGGGGGCCCAGCCCAGCCCCTCCCTGGCCTGCCCGCCCACTCCCTGCAGAAACCCAGGCTAGTGAAGGCAGCCTGAGGTTTTTTCTACTTTCTGAGTTTTCTTTTTTAAAAAATATATTTTTATTGATTTCAGAGAGAAAGGGAGAGGGAGAAAGAGATAGAAACATCAATGATGAGAGAGCATCATGGATTGGCTGCCTCCTGCACGCCCCCTACTGGGGATCGAGCCCACAACCCGGGCATGTGCCCTGACCGGGAATCGAACCCGGTACCCTTCAGTCTGCAGGCCAGTGCTCTACCCACTGAGCTAAACCAGCTAGGGCCCTTCTCAGTTTTCTTTTTTAAAAAAATATATATTGTTATTGATTTCAGAGAGGAAAGGAGAGAGAGAGAGAGAAACATCAATGATGAGAATCATTAATTGGCTGCCTCCTGCACGCCCCCTACTGGGGATTGAGCCCACAACCCGGCATGTGCCCTGACCTGGAATCGAACCCGGTACCCTTCAGTATCAGACCGGCTGGAGCTGTTCATGAAATCATCCTGGTGCTGGGAAAGTGGGGCTGAAACGTTCCCTAGCAGTGGACTCGCTCCTGCTGTTGGCTCTGGGATGCTAGGCCGATGCTCTACCCACTGAGCCAAGCCAGCTAGGGCCCTTCTGAGTTTTCTTGAACCAACTTGGGCTAAGGGGCTTTGGCTGGGGTTGAAAAGGGGAGCAGGCTGCCTGCTTTCTCCTCTGTCCCTGGGACCAGGGGAGGGGAGGAAAGAAGAGGGGGCAGGGACAGGTGACCTTGCCCACAGATGGTGCTGCCCATGAGGGTGTGGGGTCCCCAGGAGAGGGCCAGCACCTTGGTGCTCGGGGGCCAGGAAGGGGGACACGGGGGTGGGCTGCAGCGCGTTGCCCTGCCAGGGGCGGGAGGGGCGGTGCTCACGGTCTGTGCAGGAGATCCGAGGCTCCTCCCAGTGCCCGCTGGGCAGGCACCGGATGGTGGGCACGTGGCGCTGGACGAAGCCCTCTGCGCACTGGTACCGCACCAGCGCGTTGATCTCGTAGCGGTCCTTCCTCTGGCCGAACGTCCTGGCGTGCTCCACCACGGGGGGCTCTCCGCAGGCCACTGGGGGGCAAACACCCGTCAGAGGGGGACCTCAGGGGGGCTCTTGTTTTTGTTAAATCTTTATTGTTGAAAGTATTACGTATGTCCCCCTTTCCCCCATCGACTCCCTCCAGCCCCTTCCCCCCCACTCCTCACGGCCCCATTGTCTGTGTCCACGGGTTATGCATCTATGCATCCAAATTCTTTTTTTTTTCTTTTTTTAAAAAATATATTTCATTGATTCTTCACAGAGAGGAAGGGACAGAGATAGAGAGTTAGAAACATCGATGAGAGAGCATCGATCAGGTATTACATATGTCCCCCTATTTCTCCCATAGACTTCTTCCAGCCTTACTCTGCCCCCCATCCCAGACCTTCACCCCCCTATTGTCTGTGTCCTTGGGTTATGCATATATGCATACAAGTTCTTTGGTTCATCTCTTCCCTCCCCCCCACCCTCCCTCGCCTTCCCTCTGAGATTCCGCCCTCTGTTCCAGGCTTCCATGTCTCTGGATCCACTCGGTCCATCAGTTAATTTTGCTAATTAGATTCCTCGCACGTGTGAGATCACCGGAAACTTGGCTGTCTCTGACTGGCTTGTTTCACTTAGCGTGATATCCTCCAGGTCTTAGGGGGGCTCTTGCAAAGACCCCTGCCCACAATGAGCCAGCGTGGTCCCCTCTGGCTGTGACGAGACAGCCTGGAGCCCACGGCACGAGGCAGGGGCGTGGAGCCCACACACCCAGCCTTGAACCCGGGCTGCTAAGGGTGTTTTCAAGCAGCGCTCAGAATCTGGCCACCCTCTGGGCTTCCCCGGTGGTTTAGAGCGAGCAGGGAGGGAATAAAAGGTCTTCAGGGGGATCCACTCGGTCCATCAGTTAATTTTGCTAATTAGATTCCTCGCACGTGTGAGATCACCGGAAACTTGGCTGTCTCTGACTGGCTTGTTTCACTTAGCGTGATATCCTCCAGGTCTTAGGGGGGCTCTTGCGAAGACCCCTGCCCACGATGAGCCAGCGTGGTCCCCTCTGGCTGTGACGAGACAGCCTGGAGCCCACGGCATGTGGCAGGGGCGTGGAGCCCGCACGCCCAGCCTCGAACCCGGGCTGCTAAGGGTGTTTTCATGCAGCGCTCAGAATCTGGCCACCCTCTGGGCTCCCCGGTGGTTTAGAGCGAGCAGGGAGGGAATAAAAGGAGGGTCTTCAGGGGATGAGGAGAAGACGGAGGGTGGGAGAAAGGGAGAAGAAGAGGGTGAGAGCCGGCAGACCGGCTGGAGCTGTTCATGAAATCATCCTGGTGCTGGGAAAGTGGGGCTGAAACGTTCCCTAGCAGTGGACTCGCTCCTGCTGTTGGCTCTGGGATGCTAATGCTGGGAGTGGCCCCCAGGACAGTTCCAATCTGGCTGGTGGCCATGAGGTGACAGCAGCAGCCAAGACACAAGGAACCTAAAGTCTTTTTATTGTTGTTAATCCTCACCCGAGGATATTTTCCCATTGATGTTTAGAGAGAGTGGGAGGGAGGGGGAGAGACACACAGAGAGAGACATCGATGTGAGAGAGAGACATCGATTGGTTGCCTCCCAAACGCGCCTCGACCAGGCCTGGGGATGGAGCCACCGAGGTCCGTGCCCTTGACCGGAATCGAACCCGGGACCCTTCAGTCTGCAGGCTGACGCTCTATCCACGGAGCCAAACCGGCCAGGGCTGGACCCTGAAGTCCTGCTTCCTCCCGCCTGGGCCCGCCCAGGCCGGCTTACCTGTGCCCTTCTTACACGTGAAGGGCAGGTGGTAATTGCAGGGCACGTCGTTCCACTCGCCCTTCTCGTGCCAGATCATCACCACACAGTCCTCTCCGGAGGCAAAGAAGTTGTCGGGCTGGTTGGGGCGCCAGTTCTCAAATTGCTGTGGGTGGGAGCGGGGCAGGGGTGAGGCGGGCACAGGAGCCACGTGGCTTGTCTGGCCTGACCCCCACTTTCTCTCCCGTCATGCCCCAGCGGCATCTCCTTTCTCTCTCTCTCTCTCTGTTAATCCTCACCCGAGGGTATTTTTTCCATTGATTTTTAGAGAGAGTGGAAGGGAGGGGGAGACACAGAGAGAGAAACATTGATGTGAGAGA